AAAATGATAAGTGACTTAAATGCGTGAAGGTTTATAAAATTAATAAATTATTTTTTTAATTTCAAAAAATGTTAAACATGTAAGGTACTCACTAATTATCTTCGCAATGGGCAAATCACTCTCCAACATGGTCACTGTCACTCCAAATCCGAGCAAAACCAATAAATTTCCATAGAGATTTTAAGTCCGTGTGCAGCGGGGCAATAGCTAGTCAGCATCAATCTTAAGACAAGACGACCTTGACTTTGGCTAAGAGAAAACAACATTTTTATATGTTACTTCCGTGGTAGGAAATTTTCAAATTGAAACTTGCTTTAAGGGTTGTTTCGTATGTAATTTCTTCAAAAAAAAAAAAAGTTAAATGAAGAATAGTAAAGAGTAGTAAAGAGTAGACTTAAATGAAGAATAGACTCAAATGAACCTATAATTTCAAGTAAGCTAAAAGTTCTAAAATTTCAAGTTAAATCGTTGAACTCAAATTTTCAATTATCACACTGATTGTTTTCAAAATATTTAAATAAATTAAATTAATTCAGTTTACAAATAATTAAATGTATGCATTCAATACAGTAAAAAAAAACTTAGCTGGCTAAAATGAAATGCAAATATAAAACTTTTAATTCTGAAAAAATTCTAAAAATTAAACATTAATTTTATTATTATTATTTTGTAAATGAATTTAATTAAATAATTAATAAATTAAAAATTAATTTTTATTTTTTCAATACAAATTTATGATGAAAAATATATTAAATACACCTTTTAACTATCCATCACTTCGAGGCCTAATGATCCCTCCTTGCAAGACATACTTAGGACTATCGAGATCTAAATCCTAATCTCAAGTCCCTTTTCCCTTTTTCTTGAAAAAATTTTTCATTATTCAAAAAAAAAATACACTTTTTAACTTATGAGAACATAAATTAGATAAACCATTTTTCTATTTAAATTATATGTTTCTTATTATATATATTTTGATGAGAGATTTTATTACTTAACATATTTTTCATGTGCAACTCCAGTATAAACTCAAGTTAAATTAGGTTAGGTGACTTAATATATCCTTTCACATGCCGAGTTAATATAAATTTCGAATCTTATCAAATAAGTTAATAATAAGCTCCTAACCCCTGATTAATTACAAAATGTAGTGGTCCTTAAGGATAGGCTTTAATTTGGCTTTGTTCAATGAATACTTTCAATATAACCGCATCACTGTTCTTATCAAACATGACAGTCTCCTGTCCATATCGGTGGGAAGTGAATTACTATTTGAGCTTTATAATGCAAGTTTTTCCTCAATCAAGGATAGGTTTTAATTTGACTTTATTCGAGGAATACTTTCCATATAACTTGTCTCAAAAAATAATTTATTACAAGTTGGATGATGAACGGGAAGCATCCCAGACAGAGAAGAATATTGAAATACTGTGTTTTCTTTAAAATATGTTTCAGAAAAGATGCAAAATAAATATATAAATTTTGTTTTGTTTTTTTTAACTTAGAAATTTAAATTTTATTGATTTTTTAATAATATAATTAATTTTTATTTTTTATTTAAAAATATTTAC